TGGGTCAAGAATTATAACAGGAAATATATTTTTCGATAGATTCATAATTAAACCTCTGAAAAATGCAATTATTGTTATTGTTCCTTTTCTTTGATGTACGATTACGTTCAAATTTGATTGAGGTGTACTATGTGCGAGCAATGCATACTTCGTTCTGAACATTTTCTATTTCGCGAGGTAATGTGGTGGATTATTGTAACGGCCGCCATTACAACCAGAACGCGTAGCTCTTATTAAGTTCCAAGCTCATTGTGACGGAAACGTCGCAGTAACAGATTACGGCTAGTACATCCTAGCAAAACCCATATGTCGCGTCATTGAAAATGTTATACTTCTAAAATTCCATAATGTCTATTGTTTCATGTAAATGTATTTAAATCAAATAAATATCAAAACAACCCGACTTTACGTTAAATGTGGATCTAAACTAGCTCTCCTTAATCCAGATCACATTTTAGTAAAGTAAAAATACAATACAAACTTATATAAACCAAGGAAAATTACTGTCAACGAGATCACAAACTCGCAAAATGCTGGCGAACAGAACTAATTATTAAACTATTTTTTGATCCATAAGTAGTTGTCGGGGATTGGTTGTTGCTTAACGAATCATTTATCCGTTGATTGTTATTTTCATATTACAACTCAAGTTCTAAGAACTGTGGTGTTTCTTCCGGGTTGGTTATATGATGATTAAAGGTATGTCTTATTTAAAAGATATTGGTATGAAAGGTATAGTTTAAATCATGTCTGTCTCTTTTCGATTGCTTTTATTCTATGAAATTCTCAGGTGAATTATTGAATACTTCAGTTTATAGTTACGTATTTTCTTTTCACGTTTCTTTATGTACACAATAGGCGATGAGTATTAAGTGTGCAGAACGTAACCGTCCTGTACCTGGGACTGTATATTGTAGGCGTTAGCGGATTTAAAAAATGTTTTGTATAATTGCTGAGAGCGAATAATATTTAAACGTTTGCGTTTGGTTAAATATTGCCTTATTTAAAAAATGAATTTTATTAGATAAACGTAAAAGGCCAACATAGGATTACACTTTAAAAAATTGATAATAGATACAGTATGCAAAAGTGAATTACTCTGCATCATAAAACTGATTCGTCCATCTAGGACTCATTGCTTCATTGTTGATATTTGTTTGTTTGTTTGCTTGTTACGTCCCATTAACAGTTATGGTTATTTAAGGACGTATCACGTTTTGGTGGTGGAGAAAGCCTGAGTTTCCGGAGAAAAACAATAGGTTGGTTTAATTTCCATACAACTAAATTAAGAACCAGTAATATTGCCTTATCTAAAAATAAAAATAAAAATATTGGATGAACGTAAAAGATAAACAAATGATTGAACTTATAAAATTTGGTGATAAATACAGTATGCAAAACATTGATTTCACTGCACCATACAACTGTTTCGTCCATTTATGACTCATTGCCTCATTGTTGATATTTGTATGTTTGTGTTTACGCCCTATAAACATTTATGGTTATTTAATGACGTATCAGGTTTTGGTGGTGGAGGAAAGCCGGAGTTCCCGGAGAAAAACAACCGACCTGTGGCCAGTACCTGGCGACTGCCCCACGAAGGCTCGAACCCGCGACGAAGTGATAGAGGGCTAGTAATCAAGATGGTCAGACACCTTGACCATTCAGCCACGACAGCCCCTCATTGGTAATGCTAGGAGTCGAAAATGTGGAAAATCAAAATTGGTCTAAACATCTATGAAAACAGGGAAGGGAGGTGCGTTAAACATCTTATTATATGAATATAGAACATTAGAGTAGTACACATTATATAATCTCGTAATTTTGAGAATTTTTGTTTGTCGTACAGGTTGCAATTAAATTCATTCATGCATGTTAAAATGCATGGTAGTTTGTAAACCGCACAATGAGGTGTATATTAATATGCATACAACTTCCTTCTTCTAAAATAAATCGTGATTGTTCACCGAAGTGAGATCTGATAAAAATCTCAAGTATTAATTAAAAAAAAGGACTTGGTAGTTGCACCTGTTAAGTTTTTGATCTGTAAAAAAGGGGTATAGCGGCATGATAATTGTATAATATACTTTAAGAATCGCTAAGGACATTAAGCTTATGGCGTGTGAAGGAAAAAAAATAATTTGACAAGCTCGTGTCAACTTGATGTCTACTTATTCCGGAGATGATAGAATGGAAGTTGTTGAGCAAGATCAAAGTATTTTTTGCATAGGATTGTTGCCTATAGGGTCGTTTGGTCGTTTGTTTGTATTTCTCTTGATTTCCGATTTTTGTTCTGTCTACTGGACAAACGATGTCATTTGTTAATACATGCGAACGAACTGCTGCGAAAGCTTGGTCGAGAGTGGGTTTCTGTGGCGCCTGAGGGGCAGGGGTTATTCACATATATCAGGTGTTGTTATCAAAAACATTATGAATAATGACACAATACTGTTTTTGTTATAGAGCGCAAGCATATATATGTAACAAAACAATGTTCAAATGAAAAAATATTATAAATCACAATTTCAACAATAGGTCCTTTTCAAATCATTTGTAATTTTTTTCTGAAATAATGTCCTTTGCGATTTCTATACTAAAGTTAAATTGGACGACTAAATGCAAATGAATATAAAGCAAAAAAATTAATGTAGTGCTTGAGAAATGATACGTAATAGCCCCTTAAAAATTCAAACTTAACAAACAAAAAGAGGTCCAACCCATGTTTTCTTATATGAATATAACGTAAATGGGTCAAGAATTATAACAGGAAATATATTTTTCAATAGATTCATAATTAAACCTCTGAAAAAATGCAATTATTGTTATTGTTCCTTTTCTTTGATGTACGATTACGTTCAAATTTGATTGAGGTGTACTATGTGCGAGCAATGCATACTTCGTTCTGAACATTTTCTATTTCGCGAAGTAATGTGGTGGATTATTGTAACGGCCGCCATTACAACCAGAACGTGTAGCTCTTATTAAGTTCCAAGCTCATTGTGACGGAAACGTCGCAGTAACAGATTACGGTTAGTACATCCTAGCAAAACCCATATGTCGCGTCATTGAAAATGTTATACTTCTAAAATTCCATAATGTCTATTATTTCATGTAAATGTATTTATGTATTTAATATTCGTTTATGAGATAAATCAAATAAATATCAAAACAAACCGACTTCACGTTAAATGTAGATCTAAACTAGCTCTCCTTAATCCAGATCACATTTTAGTGAAGTGAAAAAAGAAAATATACCAAGGAAAATTACTATCAACGAGATCACAAACACGCGAATGCTGGCGAACAGAACTAATTATTAAACTATTATTTGATCAATAAGTAGTTGTCGGGGATTGGTTGTTGCTTAAAGAATCATGTGTCCGTTGATTGTTATGTTCATATTACAACTCCAGTTCTAAGAACTGTGGTATTTCTTCCGGGTTGGTTATATAATGATTAATAAAAAGATATTGGTATATGTCTTATTAAAAAGATATTGGTATAAAAGGTATAGTTTAAATCATGTCTGTCTCTTTTCGATTGTTTTTAGTCTATGAATTTCTCAGGTGAATTATTTAATACTTCAGTTTTATAAAACATGCTCTATTCTATCACATTTTATAGTTACGTATGTTCTTTTCACGTTTCTTTATGTACACTATAGGCGATGAGTATTAAGTGTTCAGAACATAACCTTACTGTACCTTTGACTATAGATTGTAGGTGTTAGTGGATTTAAAAATTGTTTTGTATACTTGCTGCGAGCGAATAATATATAAATGTTTACGTTTATTGATATGTTCATAAGAGGAGTACAGATTATAAAATTTCGTAACTTTATGAATTCTTGTTTGCCATACAGGTTGCATGTGAAACCACACAATGAGGTGTATAATAATTTACTATTGATATTAACTTCCTTCTTTTAAAATAGATCGTGATATCTGATTAAAATATCAAGTTTTAATTTGATTTAAACGGACTTGGTAGTAGTAACTGTGAAGTTTTTGATCTGTAACAAAAGGGTTATAGCGGCTTGCTAATTGTAATCAGATACTTTAAGAATTTCCAATGACACTAAGGTTATGGTGTGTGAGGGAATAAAATTAATTTAACTAACTCGTGTCAACTTAATGTCAACTAAGTCCAGAGATGACAGACTGGAAGTTGTTGAGCAAGATCAAAGTATTTGTTGTATAGGATGGGTGCCTATAGGGCCGTTTGATGATTTTTGATTTGTTTCCATGTCTGTTTTCAATACATGCGAAAGAACTGCTGCAAAAGCCAGGTCAAGAGTGGGTTTCTGGGGCGCCTGAGGTGTAATTCACATAAATAAGGTGTTTTAATCCAAAACATGATGAATAATGACAAACTACTGTATTTGTGATAGACAATAAGCATAAATGTAGCAAGTCTGTCTTCAAATGAAAAAATAACTATAAATTACAATTTCAACAATGTATTTTTGTTATACGTAATATAAGACAGGTCCTTTCTCAAATCATTTTGGGTTTTTTTTTAAAGTAATTTCCTTTGTGATTTATATTTTAAGTAGAAGTTGGACAGCTAGATGCAAATGGATATAATGCAAAACAAGGCATGTAGTATTTAAAGATTAAATCTTGCTTTGGTCGATTTCATGGGGTGATGAATTGAGTTGGTCTTGAAACAAATTTAATGAACTGCAAAGCAGTTCATGTTGAATTTGTTTCAAGACCAACTAAATTCATCAACCTATGCAATCGACCAAAGCAAGATTCAAACCTTATATTTCAAGCAACGTTGGTTTTTTCATTGGAACTTGTGAATTCCATTCTGATAGTTTGCCCTAGGTTCTGGAGCGTATGCAAGTCTACGTATTGACGTAATGTAAAAAAAAAAGTATGGTCCGTCATTGAAGGAGTATCATACAACATGATGGTTTAAGGTGATAGTTTAATATAGCCAAAAAAACAAAGCACAAAACCATATTTTAAATGTCATATCAAAGTTTTGCTTACTGTCATCCATCCAAACCGGATTTTGTGTTCCACATTTTGCAGACTCAGGAGCCGTTTGAGGTATGGTCCCGCCAGCACCCGAAACCGATCTATACCAGCCCTCACTTATTAGAAGATCATTTTCATAAACAGTCCCAGCGGAGATCGCGGTGGACCGCCACGGATCGTCCAGTAACTCGTGGTTATGCACCAGGCAAGGGTCATCGTCTTGGCCTGAAACCATTCACAATAAATAAAACATTATAACCTTCTGATAAAAATTTCGTAACCAGTTCATTTGTTTTTGGTGGGTAATAAATTATTTTTGATTAACTAATACTGAAACTGTCGAAATGTGTTGATTCCTGAGTAAATCCTAATCAGTATCAAACTCGTAACATAGAAACTCGAAAAACTGATAAATCTATTCGGTTATTTGATTCTGCTGTATAAAACAGGAAAAGAGAATATAACGTCTGTCAAAACAATGGTAGTAATTTAACCATTTTCACTGATACTCACAATCTACTACAGCAATCAGTAACCATAGCGTTAACCAACAGCGATAGAACATCTCTGGTCCTGATTTCAGTTGTTCTCCTATAGACTGTGTTTTGCTTGAGGTGTTAACTATCTGATCGGTGATGTAATTTGATGGGTTTTAATACTCTTTTCAAGACTTCCGTGTTGTGAAATGTGTGTGAACTTGTTTCTTTTAGGTCCTCGCAACAGCCAATGTCATATCAGGACGGTTGCCGAGGGAGGGAATTGAAAGAAGTAAAACGTATGCATGCCCCCATGGCGAGACATTGGGAACAAAACCTGACTAAGCAGGTGTCCAACTTTCGTCATCTCTAACGAGAGCATGAAGTGAATTACAAGAAGCCTATTCTTTCCACGAACCAACAAGGAAGTTGTACAGTGCATCTGTGTTTAATCATGCCCATTTCGCTCGATAATTTAATTTGTGTACTTAGCCAAAATGAATTAAATTCCGTCAACTAAAACACTGATATGATAGTGGTACAAACAAATACAGTTAGATGACTGTATGAGTTGTGTTTGGGAAGTAGTACATGTAAGACCATTTTATAATGGCTTGATAGTAGGGCAATCGTATTCCAGTGCATATACCAAAGGGTTGGACGATTATATCAGAAGTAACGTCATAGCGACCGCCGTCTTAGAAAAGTCTGTAAAGTGGAAAGGACGTGTTAGTAGTGTTTAGATAGAGGCGGTGGTGTTAGTTATGTTAGGATAGTGAGATGGCCGTGTTACAAACGTCCCTATAGAAGGGCGGCTGTATTAGTAGAGTCAGAAAAGTGGAATAATAGTGTTAAGATAGTTAGACGGGCGTGTTAGTAGTGTTTAAATAGTGGGACGGCCATGTTAGTAGTGTTAAGATAGTTTGACGGTCGTGTTGGTAGTGTCAAGATAGTGGGACGGCTGAGTTAGTATTGTTGAGATAGTGCGACGGCTGTGTAAGTCGTGTTTAGATAGTAGGAAGGCTGTGTTAGAAGTGTTTAGATAGTAGGACGACTGTGTCTGTAGTGTTTAAATAGTGGGACGGCCGTGTTGGTAATGTTGATCTAATTGGACGGCTGAGTAAGTAGAGTTTTGATAGTTAGACGGCCGTGTTGATAGTGTTAATATAATGGGACGGCCGTGTTAGTAGTGTTTGCATAGTGGGACGGCCGTGTTGGTAGTATTTAAATAGTGGGACGGCCGTGTAAGATGGGTTTAGATGGTGGGATGGCCGTGTAAGTAGTCTTCAGATAGGGGGACATTCATGTTAGTATTGTTAAGATCGTGGGAAGGCCGTGTTAGTGGAGTCTGTATAGTGGGACGGCCGTGTTAGTAGAGTCTGTATAAAGGTACGGACGTGTTAGTAGTGTTTAAATATTGGGAAGAGTGTTAAGATAGTGAGACGGTCATGTTAGTAGAGTTTAGATAGCGGGACGGCTGTGTCTATAGTGTTTAAATAGTGGGACGGCCATATTTGTAGTGTTTAGATATTGGGACGGCTGTGTCTGTAGTGTTTAAATAGGGGGACGGCTGTGTCTGTAGTGTTTAAATAGTGGGACGGTCGTGTTGGTAGTGTTTAGATAGTGGGGCGACAGTGTTAGTAGTATTTAGATAGTAGGACAGCCGTGTTAGAAGTGTTTTATTAGTACAACGACTGTGTTAGTAGTATTTAGATAGTGGGCCGGCTGAGTAAGTAGTGTTTAGATAATGGGACGGCTGTGTTAGCAGTGTTGATATAATTGGACGGCTGAGTAAGTAGAGTTTAGATAGAGGGAAGGCTATGCTTATGGTGTGTATGTATTGGGTTCCTTGTTAATAGTGTTAGGATAATGGGATGGCCGTGTTAGTAGTGATTAGATAAAGGGACGGCCATGTTCGTAGTGTTTAATATAGTGGGATGACCATGTTAGTAGTGTTTAGATAGTTTGACGGTCGTGTTGGTAGTGCTAAGATAGTGGGACGGCTGAGTTAGTATTGTTGAGATAGTGTGACGGCTGTGTAAGTAGTGTTTAGATAGTAGGAAGGCTGTGTTAGATGTGTTTAGATAGTAGGACGACTGTGTCTGTAGTGTTGATCTAATTGGACGGCTGAGTAAGTAGAGTTTTGATAGTTAGACGGCCGTGTTGATAGTGTTAATATAATGGGACGGCCGTGTTAGTAGTGCCTAAATAGTGGGACGGCCGTGTTGGTAGTATTTAAATAGTGGGACGGCCGTGTAAGATGGGTTTAGATGGTGGGATGGCCGTGTAAGTAGTCTTCAGATAGGGGGACATTCATGTTAGTATTGTTAAGATAGTGGGAAGGCCGTGTTAGTGGAGTCTGTATAGTGGGACGGCTGTGTTAGTAGAATCTGTATAAAGGTACGGACGAATTAGAAGTGTTTAAATATTGGGAAGAGTGTTAAGATAGTGAGACGGCTGTGTCTGTAGTGTTTAATATAGTGGGAATGCCATGCTAGTAGTGTTTAAATAGTGATACGTCTGTGTTAGTTGTGTTTAGATAGTAGGACAGCCGTGTTAGTAGAGTTTAGATAGTAGGACAGCCGTGTTAGTAGTGTTTGGATAGTAGGACAGCCGTGTTAGTAGTGTTTAGATAGTAGGACGGTTATGTTAGTAGTGTTTATATAGTAGGACAGCCGTGTTAGTAGTGTTCAGATAGAATGACATCCGTGTTAGTAGTGTTTAGATAGTAGGACGGTTATGTTAGTAGTGTTTAGATAATAAGACGGGTGAGTTAGTATTGTTTAGATAGTGCGACGGCTGGGTAAGTAGTGTTTAGATGATATTATTACACCTCTACTTTATTTACTCTATATAAAAGTAATTGGTTAAATCGAATATATCCCCACTTTTGCCTGAGTGTTTTTTAGTCCTGTGTGGTAGTCTGTGAACTAAAACACACCTACACTCGGGTGTTTCCGCCGAGCCAATCAGGTGAGAGGTGGGCGGAGCTTGTTACCGAACTCGGCAGTGACGCGCGAGGTGGGCGGAGCTTGCTGCCGAACTCGTAAGCATTTGGCTCCATTGCCATCAAAAGGGTATTTGGGACGTGAAGCTATACAGCTTATGGTTTACAAATATTTTCTAGTTAAAACTATCTCTCGAGTGTGTATCGGTATAATAAAACGGTTAAAGTATGGGGTTGAGGCACATATAGCATTATGCAAGTTGCTGGTGTCCCTTGACCATGCCTATTTCCCTCGGCTTCGCCTCGGGAAATAGACCTGGTCTCGGGACACCAGAAACTTGCTATATCCCTCAACCCCATACTCTAACTGTATACTATAACACCTCTACTTTATTTACTCTATATAAAAGTAATTGGTTAAATCGAATATATCCCCACTTTTGCCTGAGTGTGTTTTAGTCCTGTGTGTTAGTCTGTGAACTAAAACACACCTACACTCGGGTGTTTCCGCCGAGCCAATCAGGTGAGAGGTGGGCGGAGCTTGTTACCGAACTCGGCAGTGACGCGCGAGGTGGGCGGAGCTTGCTGCCGAACTCGTAAGCATTTGGCTCCATTGCCATCAAAAGGGTATTTGGGACGTGAAGCTATACAGCTTATGGTTTACAAATATTTTCTAGTTAAAACTATCTCTCGAGTGTGTATCGGTATAATAAAACGGTTAAAGTATGGGGTTGAGGCACATATAGCAAGTTTCTGGTGTCCCTTGGCCATGCCTATTTCCCTCGGCTTCGCCTCGGGAAATAGACCTGGTCTCGGGACACCAGAAACTTGCTATATCCCTCAACCCCATACTCTAACTGTATAGTAGGTCAGCCGTGTTAGACGTGTTTTATTAGTACGACCACTGTGTTAGTAGTATTTAGATAGTGGGCCGGCTGAGTAAGTAGTGTTTAGATAATGGGACGGCTGTGTTAGCAGTGTTGATATAATTGGACGGCTGAGTAAGTAGAGTTTAGATAGAGGGAAGGCTATGCTTATGGTGTGTATGTATTGGGTTCCTTGTTAATAGTGTTAGGATAATGGGACGGCCGTGTTAGCAGTGATTAGATAGAGGGACGGCCATGTTCGTAGTGTTAGCCGTGTTAGTAGAGTTTAGATAGTAGGACAGCCGTGTTAGTAGAGTTTAGATAGTAGGACAGCCGTGTAAGTAGTGTTTAAATAGTAGGACGGCTGTGTTAGTAGTGTTTAGATAGTAGGACGGTTATGTTAGTAGTGTTTAGTAGTAGGACAGTCGTGTAAGTAGTGTTTATATAGTAGGACGGTTATGTTAGTAGAGTTTATATAGTAGGACAGCCGTGTAAGTAGTGTTTAAATAGTAGGACGGCTGTGTTAGTAGTGTTTAGATAGTAGGACGGTTATGTTAGTAGTGTTTAGATAGTAGGACAGCCGTGTTAGTAGAGTTTAGATAGTAGGACAGCCGTGTAAGTAGTGTTTATATAGTAGGACGGTTATGTTAGTAGAGTTTATATCGTAGGACAGCCGTGTAAGTAGTGTTTAGATAGTAGGACGGCTGTGTTAGTAGTGTTTAGATAGTAGGACAACCGTGTTAGTAGAGTTTAGATAGTAGGACAGTCGTGTAAGTAGTGTTTATATACTAGGACGGTTATGTTAGTAGTGTTTAGATAGTAGGACAGCCGTGTTAGTAGAGTTTATATAGTAGGACAGCCGTGTAAGTAGTGTTTAGATAGTAGAACAGCCGTGTTAGTAGAGTTTAGATAGTAGGACAGCCGTGTTAGTAGAGTTTATATAGTAGGACAGCCGTGTAAGTAGTGTTTAGATAGTAGGACGGCTGTGTTAGTAGTGTTTAGATAGTAGGACAACCGTGTTAGTAGAGTTTAGATAGTAGGACAGTCGTGTAAGTAGTGTTTATATACTAGGACGGTTATGTTAGTAGTGTTTAGATAGTAGGACAGCCGTGTTAGTAGTGTTTAGATAGTAGGACAGCCGTGTAAGTAGTGTTTATATAGTAGGACGGTTATGTTAGTAGTGTTTAGATAGTAGGACAGCCGTGTAAGTAGTGTTTAGATAGTAGGACAGCCGTGTTAGTAGAGTTTAGATAGTAGGACAGCCGTGTAAGTAGTGTTTATATAGTAGAACAGCCGTTTTAGTAGAGTTTAGATAGTAGAACAGCCGTGTTAGTAGAGTTTATATAGTAGGACGGTTATGTTAGTAGTGTTTAGATAGTAGGACAGCCGTGTAAGTAGTGTTTAGATAGTAGGACAGCCGTGTTAGTGGCTGCAGGGACTGGGAAGCCAGTAGAGTGTTTGCCACACAGGCTATCGGAGTGCCCAATCACTCACAATATCGCAATGACTTACTGGGATGATATTTATGACGGTGGTGAAGGAAAGCCATATGCTGCTGTCATGGACACAAATTTAAAGAAAATATTTGTATATGGTGGTGAAGTCCCACAGTCATATCTTCCTAAATCAGTTTCAAGAGTTAATCCTTTTGTCTCCCAGGGTGTCATGTATGACAGTATGGGTAACCTAGTCATAGGGGACAACAAACGTGTCCTACTCATTTCTGGGTGCGGCGAGTTCATCAGGGTCATACATACAGATAGCTACTGGACACAGGCTATTGGTATAGACAGGAAGGATGTCCTTTGGGCAGTGTTTGGACTTGACAATGTCAAACTTCTACAGTACAGCAGTGCATGACATCTAGACAAACTATAAACTGTGTATATATAATAACCATTAAAGTGGGTGGTTAAAACGGCACGAAACCTGTGTCCGCTGGACCCAGAACACGGTATTTTCTGATATAATTAATAGTCTTTTTGTAATGAACTTCATTATTGTATTTGGATTTATAACTTTCAGGGATTATTGAAACACTGAAATTTGCCATATACTTGGGACGACTTTGAGAGGCACTGGGACATATTGATAACAAGTGTCCGTTATCTGGAGCTATGATCATAACTGTTGGATAAAATTAGTCTTGAGTGTTATATCTGTGAAAATATTCTCATTGAGTTTCGCTGGATAATCGCATACATACAGAAACATTTTAGAATTTGTTGAAAAAGTTATAAAGCTGTCTTCAAAATGAAATAATGATGACGATAATAAAACATTGTGTTTCTCTATATCGTTATTTTTGTTTATGCAGCCAACACGCGTTTTTGTTTGATGTTGCTAGTGCAGTAAATGTTGATACCAGGTTGAAGGTTGAAGTTAAGCTGTATTGTATCTACAGAGTGCGTAACAGCTGATTCGGAAATTAATCACAAAAGGGACTCCCTTTTTCTATTTACTTATAAACCAAACGGTGCAAGTCCCTGTAGAAGTTTTGTACGGTTATGGTGAACAATAATTTTCAAAACTGGGAAGTTATTGAACAGCTTAGCTCCTTCAAAGTGGTATCGGGATTTATTTTAGTAGCAACTTCAAAAGGAAATCACCTCAACTAAGATACAACATCAGTTACTTCCCTTTGAACAGTCAACTCTATTGAAAAGATTATAAAGCAATTTTATGATGGGTGCACGGGTATTTCAGATTTAAAATCGCATACATTAACACTCGGCTGTTTATCTTTTGTTAAGGTTTATCTTGCTGAATCGTGATTTTTTCACAGATTTCACTTGCAAATTCAATTCAACAAGAAAGCAACAAATCACCAATTCTCAATTTTTTATTCCTTTCTTCAGTAATTAAGTGCAAGCTTCCATAAAATGCTTTATTTACAGTCCTTTTGGTCTGTTGTCAAAAAGTTTTCAGTTTTAACCCCAAAATCGGAGAGTTTTTGGTAAAGTCTGTCCTTGGTTTCCGAAGCTAGCGTTCGTTCTCTTGACAGAATCCAACAGAATTCCACGTGTGTCAGACCAAGAACGTCCTTACACGAGTAGATTAGTGTATAGTTGGTGTAGTCAGTGTCCAATATCCAGTAATCCCCGTACGGAATACCTGTAAAAGAGGTGTACAACACCGCGCGTTTGAAGTCGTGTTTTTTTTTTTTTCAATTCAATTAATTTTATCAACTGTATGCCTTTCGGCCCATCAGTACATAAATATGTTAATACATTACACAATAAACGATAGCACGACAAACAGTGCAAATTGGAGAGTGGAGTACATACATGTATATGTGATTAAATTTTCAACTTATTTGCTTCTAAAATATATATTTACTAAGTTGACACAGTTCCTTTGTATTTTTAACAATCAATGATTTTACAAAATTGAACACAAAGTTTCCATGAATATAAGAAGAGGCTTTTAATACATTGGTAACAGTGGCACACAGGAGAGACATTTAAAACTATTGGCAAGCACACGGCGTATGTAATCCTTATGCGAAAAACCATCACAATAACGGTGAATGATAGGGGCGTAGTAGGCCGTGTTAGTAATCATATGTTATTTTTGTATGGGAGCGTGAGAGGCCATGTTGGTTAAATATATTACAAGGGCAAATCCATAAAATCTAAGGCCTTAAGGTCTATTAGTAGGTCATTCGAATGTTACACGGTACTACCAACTGCGTAGTACATGTCAATTAAATATATCATATCGGCAAGAAGGCTGCTAAAGCGACAATAAAATATATCATATCGGCAAGAAGGCTGTTACAGCGACAATCAAATATATCATATCGGCAAGAAGGCTGCTACAGCGACAATTAAATATATCAAATCGGCAAGAAGGCTGCTACAGCGACGATTAAATATATCATATCGGCAAGAAGGCTGTTACAGCGACAATCGAATATATCATATCGGCAAGAAGGCTGTTACAGCCACAATCAAATATATCATATCGGCAAGAAGGCTGCTACAGCGACGATTAAATATATCATATCGGCAAGAAGGATGCTACAGCGACAATTAAATATATCACATCGGCAAGAAGGCTGCTAAAGCGACAATAAAAAATATCATATCGGCAAGAAGGCTGCTACAGCGACAATCAAATATATCATATCGGCAAGAAGGCTGCTACAGCGACAAGATTGATATGTATGATCGATTTGAATACAACTTCAACCGAAAACAAACCAAAGCTAAAGGAATTACGCCATTTTTTCTCTTCTGCAAGGACAAACACGGCTTTTTTGCCCGTTGCTAATTCAAGTTATATAGCCTACAGTTCGAGGCCGATTAGGGCCGAGATCTATCCATTATCTGGACTATTCCACAGTTTGAGGTGTTTCTCATACTTTCAAACATGACATCATAAAAATTCCCCTCCCTGACTAACTATTCCAATGGTCCAGGTAACTAGGTGAATCAATCCCAATGCAAGCCCATACCTATAATCCTTTGAGGTCTATTCACTAGTGTACTCTCATATATAAAAGGCATGCATCATGCTTTGCCTACAATTTGTGAATGTTTCAGACACACTGGTGTTTTTGACTGTGAAACATTGAGGATACTAGCAGTGACAATGCGTATTTTCTCACACAATTTAAACAACCACTTACTTTGACCTGAAAAGTGATATATTTTCTGCAATTCAAGTGCAAGTGAATCACCAGAAGAATTGGTTAAGGCAACACATGAAGCTGAGAAAGATTTTGTGGAGAAAGGAAATATTAATCCCAAATTTTAATAATGACAAAATTGAAAGCCTTCTGAAGGATTCTGCATCCCATATATACCAATGCAAAATCTGATTGAATAGCCCGACATTTGAGGCATGGAAAGCTGCTAGTTGTACAAAAAAGACTGAATCAGAAGAAAATATCGAAAAAGTGCAAGGGAAGCTTTTGTTTTTGTCTAATAAAGATCATGATGCCAGTAGACGGAGATTTATAACAGAGATACACAAGAAAAATTGATCAGAGTATCGAGAGAATACCTTGTATGAAACTATTGCTGGTATTCAGTATCGTCCGAAACTTATATGTTAACAATATATTTATCTCCGTTCTCAGGGTACAAATAAACAAGAATTGTGAATTTCCTAACGGATTACTGGATACAGTGCTAATTTGTTTTTGTTTTTTTCAATTGAGACGTTGTTTCAAATCACAAAAGCGAACTGTTAACTTGATGTCTTGTTAGATATGTAACTCCAAAGTTTAGAAATTCTTGAGTTGTCACCTTCTATTGTGGAATAGTCCATAGTTTTTATTGTGGAATGGTTACAACTATTGTACAGTAAAATATAACTATTCCACAGTACTAGGTGATAATAGTAGATTTGCCTCAACGATACTTCATGCACAAATAATCGATGGTTTCACAGCCATATTTTAAGTCTACATACCTTCTGCAAATTTGACTTGAAGTTTTGCGGGTTCTGCCTCATCAGGACTGTAGCCGTCACCTACCGCTTCAATGACCTTACTTTCGTCTTTTAAACTGCACAACGAAATCGTAACAAAGAGTGTCAGAAAAGTTGTTCATCACAATACATCATCCTCATCTAAACTGTACAACAGAGTGTCAAAAAGTGGTTCATAATAATACATCATCCTCATCTAAACTGTACAACAGAGTGTCAGAAAAATGATTCATCATAATACATCATCCTCATCTAAACTGTACAACAGTGTGTCAAAAAGTGGTTCATCATAATATATCATCCTCATCTAAACTGTACAACAGAGTGTCAAAAAGTGGTTCATCATAATATATCATCCCCATCTAAACTGTACAACAGAGTGTCAAAAAGTGGTTCATCATAATATATCATCCTCATCTAAACTGTACAACAGAATGTCAAAACGTGGTTCATCATAATATATCATCCTCATCTAAACTGCACAACAGAGTGTCAAAACGTGGTTCATCATAATATATCATCCTCATCTAAACTGTACAACAGAGTGTCAAAATGTGGTTCATCATAATATATCATCCTCATTTAAACTGCACAACAGAGTGTCAAAAAGTGGTTCATCATAATATATCATCCTCATCTAAACTGTACAACAGAATGTCAAAATGTGGTTCATCATAATATATCATCCTCATCTAAACTGCACAACAGAATGTCAAAAAGTGGTTCATCATAATATATCATCCTCGTCTAAACTGCACAACAGAGTGTCAAAAAGTGGTTCATCATAATATATCATCCTCGTCTAAACTGCACAACAGAGTGTCAAAAAGTGGTTCATAATAATATATCATCCTCATCTAAACTGTACAACAGAGTGTCAAAAAGGGGTTCATCATTATACATCATCCTCGTCTAAACTGCACAACGAAATCGTATTACTAAGTGTAAATAGTAGTTCATTAGAATACATCAATGTCATTTGAACTGTTTAACAGTCAGAGTGTAAATAGAGGTTCCTCAAAATTCATCATTTTTATCTCAACTGCTCAAAGAAATCGATTATAGCGTGAAATTATTTGGGCTTTGACTAAGGTACATTTGTATAACAACATAATCATATAATTCTTGTCAAATTTAATGCAATGAGTATTTTTCTACGCCAGAGAAAATGTCTTAATTTATTCAAACTTTGGATGATCCAAAATGTGTTATTTCCATCACAGGGATCTGACCTTTGTTACAGCTATATTTGGACCAAAACAATGGTGTTTTAGATATTAAGATCAATTTTCGGTAAAAAAAAAAATACCACCCCATTGATGATTGCGGGTGACATTTTTACTGAAAGTTGCTCTAAACCCCTAAACCATGCAAAATTACTCTAAACACTTCAGTTTAGGTCCAAATATAGCTGAAACAAACTAACAGGTCACTGTTATTTCCATTACCTGGTTTTTCGTTCATATGTATATAACGACACTAAATTATTATAACAGTGAACATTACTGATAACAGTTACGGTATCAATAAACCGAATTCACCCCTCCCATCCACAACTAAATCTATCTTACCTCCCTTGACACGAAACTTACGAAATGCCTTTGTTATCGACTCGGATGTGCCCGTTATCTTTCAGCTGATAGTTGGCCACAGTGCATTTCGTATTGTCCTCAAACCCAGCGTAAAACCTGAATATTTCATACCAGTCACCGAGATACTGTAAACAAAACGTAAACAATGCATTTCATGTCAAAGTATTGATAAAGTAAATATGGGGATAAAATATTTCTTTTTATTTTCACATCGAAAGCACTATCCGAGTATGAATGAGATCTATAGTAAGGAGATATATAGGGCATATCAATTTAATATTTTTTTAAGGAGCAATGTCGATCCTTTCTTAAATAACCTCGTTTGAGATATCTGATATATCATATGAGATATTTGACTTTCAGATATGAATGAAATATCTTTTCAATAGCCATATTTGAAATGAGATAAGAAAATTGTGAGATTTCTTATATACTTAAATATCATTTATGAGATAGGTTGTGTAGTGTATTTCACATTGTTTAAAGTCTTTTAAAGATATATTACATATTCATAAGCGACAGTAAGGGAGCGCGCTTTATATACAATAATGTGGGCCATATGTGATGTGACGTCAGAGATGTCTCCCTTATTGTAGAATAAAAAGGCGAAATGATGCAGTGCATCAATCAAAGACGCGACACACGTCTCGATATCTTCTTTTTCAAGTCAGTATTAGATGACATATATAAGATATTTCATATATATTTTCAGAAACGAAATGAGATCTTTTATATATGGTGCAGTGTAATTCATTTTGGCATACTGTATCAGTCAACAAATTCTGTGACCCCATTGCATGTGCGTGTCTTATTCCATCTTTGCATATTGCAGAGTTATCTTCTCTTGGGAGCAGGTATTGATTGTTACGAAATTGGTTTGTGTGAGAAAATTCCGGCGTTTTCTCAAAAATTGATGATGTTACTCCCACAAACAAGTGACGTAACAATCAAAACCTGCTCCCAAGAGAAGATAACTCTGCAATACGCAAAGACCGAATTTCGTCTGTGGCAGACTCTGCTGGTTTGATTTCTTGATAGTCACCGTAATCTCTTTTGAGTAGTGGCACGGTTTAAAAACACACCTTGCTTGTAATTAATTAGGAATTAACCAGTACCCCTATACTTTTTGAATTGCATATAAGTAGGGGGTTTTATGCATCTCAATTTCAATTCAATTCAACTTTATTCTCTTTCACAATACAATGTATAGAGAAACATATTTACAATATAATATATAGTAATTGTAGTGTTCGTAGTCGGTAGTACACAGTACTGTTTTATAATATATACACATTTATATCGAGGAGGTCAAATACTGTTATTAATTATTCTAATAAAAGTACAAAGTTTCTTCAGTGTTTTTATATTAGTAGTATTCATCAATTCATTAAACTTAATTACATTTGGTCTCGTCCAAAAATATTTGTCTATGTATAAAATTCGAAACCCAGATAGTGACGGACACTCAAGCAAGTAATGGAATTCGTCACCAATTTGCTGACTGTTACAGTGTGGACATTTTCTTTCATTATACTCTATATTATGCCATCTGCCGGTTTCAACAATGAATTTGTGATTAGTAGTCTTAAATTTACAAAATGTAACTCTATCCTTATCACTTAAAATATCTAAGTAATTTTCAAAATGACAATTATTTTTAAAAATCCTATAACATGTAGCTTTTGATGAAGTGTGAACATCACTCTGCCATTTCTGTAAATACTGGTCGTACAATCTTTGTTTAATAACATGCTTTAGCCATGTGATATTACATTCTGAAGTATATTGGACATTCCATAGGTAACTCATACCACATTCATTTAAAATACGTTTAATAAAACTTATATATGGAACCGGTTTATCATCAACATTATGTTGATGGCAAAGAAATTTATACAATATAATATTAATTTTGTTTCCTTTAGAATGAGTCAATTGTGACCAATATGATATTATTCTTGTTTTTATTGTTATTTCAAGTGGACTAGTACCTAGTTCTCCATATACCATATAATTAGGGGTGCTACTTTTTAACCCTAGTAATAATTTACAGAACTTTAAATGTACACGTTCAATTACCTTAAGGTCAGAAAGACCCCAAACTTCACAACCATACAACAGTATGGGTTTTACAATCTTGTTAAATAAATCATATATACAATGAACTGATAAATTATGTAGTCTACCTTTCTTTATAACGTCATACATTGCTATAGTAGCCTTTTTAATATTGTATTTTTTCGTTTCATTGAATGAACCAGTTCGATTAAATGCCGTACCCAAATAGGTAAAATTGTCCACTAACTCGATCGCCTCATTATTAAATAAAAATACATTTCTATTGTTTTTGCGTCCTTTACTAAACACTATACATTTGGTTTTTCCTATATTAACCTTTAATTTCCACTGTTTACAGTATTCACTGAATACATTTAATTGTAGTTGCAAGTCAACTGGACAGTCCGAGAAAAGTAGTGTATCATCAGCATATAGTAAAATAAAAAGCTTTATGTATACATGTAGATTATTTTCTAATTTAGTACTAAGGTTTGTCAAACCCTGAACGTTATTTTGGACCATAAACTCTTCTAGATCGTTCAAGTACAGACTGAATAAAAAGGGAGATAGATTTTCTCCTTGTCTCAAACCATTTTCACATGGAAAATAACCAGAACATTCACCATTAAAAGATATATTTGACTTAATGCCTTGATACATGTTAAAAATAATTGTTAACATTTTCCCATTAATACCGCTCATTAACATCTTATTCCACAAGCCATTGCGCCATACTTTATCAAAGGCTTTTTCGAAGTCAAAAAATACACAGTATAATTTACTTTTCATCATCTGAGTCAAATTTATCAAAGAGTAAAGTACAAAAATGTTATCAATAGTTGAATAATTTTTACGAAACCCTGTCTGATTTTCACATATCAAGCTTACCTCCTCTGAGTATTTCTGTAGTCTTTCATTTAATATACTAGTGAACAACTTCCCTAAACAACTAACAATCGTAATTGGTCTATAATTTTTAGGTTCCATAGGTGAACCTTTATTTTTAAAAATAGGAACAATAGTACCGGTCAGCCATTTTGATGGGAATTTCCCACTATTGAAAATAATATTAAACACTTTGACATACAAATCAGTCATTTTCGTAACAGAATGTTTGATATATTCATTCATAATATTGTCATCAGAGCATGTTTTGTTATTTTTCAACGACCTAATAGCTCTTTTTACCTCATCCTTTGTTATATCACAGTTTAAAAACTCATTAGTGGGATTAACAATATCCACAGGCACATCAGTACCGTTTTCATCATCATCATCACATGTATTAAGGTCTTTGTAAAAATTTAGAAATTCGTCTATAGGTATTGTTCGTTTTGGTTTTCTTTCGCCACCAGATTTCAAAAGCTTCCAATAATCCCTTGGATTTTTACTTTTCATTACCTTCAATTTTTTTCTGATATCATGTCTGAACGTTTTAATACTTTTATCCATTATATTTTTATAAACTTTTTCAGATTCTTTATATTTATTGTGAAAATACTCGTTTCTATGCCGTCTATACTGTCCTTTACATAGGCGGTATTTTTTTCTAGCATTTCGACAATTAAAATCAAACCAAGGTTTCTTGGGGGCGACTGACTTCTCACGCTTACTAACAGTATAGGGTTTTGTGCCAAGTGTTTTTTTAGCAGCATGTAATAAAATATTACTATTATCTCGCCTTTCTTTTTCAACAGTAATTTAGACCAGTGTGGAGTTCCAACTTGCTGTCCCCTAGCATCACCGATGAACCATAGAAAGACGAAATAGCGGTATGGTACAATGTAACTCTTCATACATTTGTATAGGTGCAATCACTTGTTATTGCGTCCATTTTATAAAGTATATGAAAAAATAAGATAATGTTAATGATTTTTGAAATAAAGGACCGACATTGCTCGTTGAATAAACACCAAGCTGACGTTACTTCGCTACTTACCTGAGATCTTACCTGAGATCATTACGCAGACATGACTTTTTTTTAAATAATGTTTAATGCACATTAAATAAGTAAGGTGCAAAACGGAAAATCGGGGATTATGAAGCTAAAACGTGTACTACCATTGATATAGCTGTAATAAGTCGCGTCGTAAGTAAAATAAAAACAAACGGCACCGCATCAATGTCAACAAGGAAATAAGAACAAAACCACACTTCGAATTCGATACGAAAAGGTGACAATTACTGGGAAAAACAATGAATTTATCAGCAATAAAATAAGCTACGGTGCATCAGTACACTTGCTCTTAGCAAGAATTAAGAAATAAGCAAAGATTTCTTTATCAACTACTAACTCCTCCACATATATTGTAATGCCTTCTATTTCATAATGGACAATTAATATAAAGACATTACCAACAGATATTTAAATCTAAAATCATCTTTTGATATAATGGCCTAGTTTATGTAACAAATATATCTGACTCAGTACAGGTGTACTGAAGCACTTTAAATATATCATACATAATGGTTTGACAATTATATATTCCAAACAATTCGAAAATATCTATGAAGAGATCAAAAATATTTTGAATTGTTTTGGATTTTTTGCTAATTCCATCTTACCTTTTGGAGATCAAACGATTTTTGTACCGTCACTGTGGGACATTTGCCTTTTCCAAACACTTGAGCAAGTGATGTATCGGCAACAAGCGCAATTACAACGAGAAAATGCGACAACCTCATTGTTGAATTCGGGGAATTGAGTTTGTCTTTACAATGTGGCGTATCATTATTTATATACCTTGTACTGAGGAGCTAAACCACCAACACAAGATAAGGGGAAATAAATTATGTAACTCACACATTGCAAAAATACAATCTATTTTGCGTGCAATTTAAAACAAATAAATAAATAACATTTACAAAACATATGAAACATAAATGTTCTATGAGGATCATGCTAATTGTTATTTAAAAGGAGAAAGTTATTAAGGCGATACGCCTATCTAAACATGCACTATCGTTTAGAGGCTCATCGTTATCTGCCTTGACAACGTGATATTATTGTATTAAGACGCATTTATGTGGAGACTTGGGGGTTCGTTGTATAATATTTTGGACAAGGTAGTATGTATCTAATCTTACGAAATATTGTTGTGACGCCCATACTCACAGGTAAAGGGACAAAGGGCTTGCCGTCTTATGTAGCAAGTCTTATGAAACGGTAGCGAAAACACCAAGAGAATATTGAAATGTACACGAAACCGTAATCCGACCTAAAAAAATTGCGAGAATATGATCAGATAAAAGATTTACATGACGACCCTTGAAAAGAAAAGAAAAGAACCAGGTGTTCCGGAGGGGTGAGTATCTCCTCCTTTATCGACGACACTCGAATAGCACATCAGGGATGTACATTATCTAAAACCAAATAGAAAGGAATGAATTTTTCAAACTGGTGTGAGCAACACGAAAATAAAAATGCGTAAAAATAAATATTTTCAAAATATAAAAAAAAAATGCCACTTTATATAGCTTTGCGCAATGCTTTCATTATTAAATACCCTAAGAAGTTGCCCATGCGCTATCGTTGAAAAGAATACATAAAACTAAACTGTAAAAGAAAAAGTGATCATTGAAATTTCGCTTGATAATTATACTTTACTTCAAGGTTCCTTTCTGAATACTATTGAACGATAACCACACCATTGACTCTATTTATTTAGAGTCTACATACTTACAACAGCCAAGGTCATACGAAGGACCGCCTCAAAGTGTCATCTCCCTGATATGTCACAATCACGAAACGGTTGCATAACACTCTACCAAGTCACGTTATTTTCACAACGGACTAAACAGTGGTACCTAGGGAGAGAGTGCCGAACACATGGAGTAGATAGGCTAGAGTAAAGAAAAGGTAGAAGTCCCAAGTGTTGTATCTCCTATGGCCCCTATTTATAAAACAAAGAATCCCATTTATTCTGCAATAGCAAATATTTTGTATAGTTAACCGAGTCATAGTAATGATTTGTTGTGCCTAAATATCAGCTTTACTGCAGGTACATGCTAAATGTCAGCTTTACTGCAGGTACATGCTAAATGTCAGCTTCACTGTAGGCACATGCTAAATTTCAGCTTCACTGCAGGCACATGCTAAATGTCAGCTTTACTGCAGGCACATGCTAAATGTCAGCTCTACTGCAGGTACATGCTAAATGTCACCTTTACTGCAGTTACATGCTAAATGTCAGCTTCACGGCAGGAACATGCTAAATGTCAGCTTCATTGTAGGCACATGCTAAATGTCAGCTTCATTTTAGGCACATGCTAAATGTCAGCGTCACTGTAGGTACATGCTAAATGTCAGCTTCATTGTAGGCACATGCTAAATGTCAGCTTCATTTTAGGCACATGCTAAATGTCAGCGTCACTGTAGGTACATGCTAAATGTCAGCTTCACTGCAGGCACATGATAAATGTCAGCTTCACTGCAGGCAAATGCTAAATGTCAGCTTCACTGCAGGCACATGCTTAATGTCAGCTTCACTGCAGGCACATGCTAAATGTCAGCTTCACTGTAGGCACATGCTTAATGTCAGCTTCACTGCAGGCGCATGCTAAATGTCAGCGTCACTGCAGGCACATGCTAAATGTCAGCGTCACTGCAGGCACATGCTAAATGTCAGCTCTACTGTAGGCACATGCTAAATGTCAGCGTCACTGCAGGCACATGCTAAATGTCAGCTTCACTGCAGGCACATGTAGTCTTTATGATGATGTCAGTGTTCTAGTCCGCCAAGTTCAATTCGGTAATTCCGTAACTGTTACAAAGATGAATTCCATATTTTACATACTTAGATCCAAGATACCACGGATTTTAAGTCTGTGGATTTACATACCTTTACCAAAATCACATTTCCTAAAGAAGCGTATGTGAATGATGCTGCTAGCCAATTAAGGATATTATTCAAACACATGTTAAGGAATACACTCTGCACAGACATTTTAATGATCGAGTCCATGGAAGCGGATGTGACGTCTGCATCAGTCTAAGCTTTACTGCAAAGCTGTACGATAACCGTGATAATTTTGAAATCCTGATCGTGAACTTTCCTTTTCTTGTTTGTAACATTCCCGCATCCCATCCCATATTGTTTACATGTCTTAGTTGAAATCATGATTTCTGTGATAGATGCTGACGGACAAACGTACACCACAGGGCTTCTGTGATAGATGCCCACTGCTGATGGACAAACGTACACCACAGGGTTTCCATGATAGATGCCCACTGCTGACAGACAAACGTACACCACAGGGTTTCTGTGATAGATGCCCACTGCTGATGGACAAACGTACACCACCGGGTTTCCATGATAGATGCCCACTGCTGACAGACAAACATACACCACAGGGCTTCTGTGATAGATGCCCACTGCTGGTGGACAAACGTACACCACAGGGTTTCCCTGATAGATGCCCACTGCTGACAGACAAACGTACACCACCGGGTTTCCGTGATAGATGCCCACTGCTGATGGACAAACGTACACCACCGGGTTTCCATGATAGATGCCCACTGCTGACAGACAAACGTACACCACAGGGTTTCTGTGATAGATGCCCCCTGCTGATGGACAAACGTACACCACCGGGTTTCCGTGATAGATGCCCACTGCTGACGGACAAACGTACACCACAGGGTTTCCGTGATAGATGTCGACTGCTGACAGACAAACGTACACCACCGGGTTTCCGTGATAGATGCCCACTGCTGATGGACAAACGTACACCACAGGGTTTCCGTGATAGATGCCGACTGCTGAAGGACAAACGTACACCACAGGGCTTCTGTGATAGATGTCGACTGCTGACGGACAAACGTACACCACAGGGCTTCTGTGATAGATGCCCACTGCTGATGGACAAACGTACGCCACAGGGTTTCCGTGATAGATGCCGACTGCTGACAGACAAACGTACACCACAGGGTTTCCGTGATAGATGCCGACTGCTGAAGGTCAAACGTACCCCACAGGGCTTCTGTGATAGATGCCGACTGCTATGGACAAACGTACACCACAGGGTTTCCGTTATAGATGCCGACTGCTGAAGGACAAACGTACACCACAGGGCTTCTGTGATAGATGCCGACTGCTGACGGACAAACGTACACCACAGGGCTACCAAAGATGCAAGTTGATGAAGACTATGTGCAATTTTGTAGTCGCCATCAAAATGTATTTGGAAAATATACGTTTTCTTTTGTAATACAAGAGGCCCAAGAGGGCCTGTATCGCTCACCTGAATATTTCAGCAGTCATAGCAAAATATTCTCATTAAATATTTTATTGCACTAAAAATATTTCCCTCGCAAACTTTGTTGGCTCCATCTGTTGAAACTACCAGCAAAATATTATTACAAGATTCTACGCTTTTTGATTCTTCAGAAGTTGCTTGACATATTTTTCCCTGTGACCTTGTAAGTAGGTCAATGTCATTTTCCTTCTCAAATTGGTAAGCTCTATTCCAAAAGCTACCAGCCAAATCTTATGAATCCATTCCTTTTAGTTCTTAAGAACAAATCCATTAAAATGTTGTTGACCTCTGTGACCTTGAAAGTAGGTCAAGGTCACTTTCATTCGCAAACTTTGTTGGGCTC